GCAAATGCTACAGCCAACAAAGTGAGGAATATTCCAACAGAAACAATCATAGTAGTCATTGCTATAGTTGATAGCTAATAAAATCTTGTTGATAGATTATTATTATTACTATTATTATCACTGCAGTTGAAATGACTTGACTGCTGAGTGGAAGTTGCCCTCTTTTTATAGCAATGGCCCAGGAGAGTGCCGGATGCATGCAGTATTTAATCTCCTTTCCTCATACTTTCCTCCACTAATGTTATTATAATCTTTCCTTCACTGCACAAAAAAACATAGCAAAAAGGAAACAATTAGTCTATTTATTAATTTATTTATTATTTATTTATTTATTTATTTACAACTTTCCAGCACTGACATAAAATAGTGTAAAATAAAATGCAAACAAGTTAATAAAGTCCAGCACCGGTGGTCAACCTGAGACATGCCCAGGCAGCCAACATAAAAATAGAAATAATAGATTAAATTATTAATAATAAAGTTGAAGATAAATTTACTACTTTGGATGAAAATTAGAGGTAGGAGGAGAGATAAAACATTGAGAGCAGGGACAATGTAGATGGAAAGAGCACGGGTTTGAGGGGTCAAAGTGTTGTTTGAAGTGAGACCAATAAAATTGCTTAATAGATTTAGTTACTGTAGATAAAGGTATTTTTGAGTCAAAGGAAGGCAACATATTCAATACTCTTGGTAAACGGTTGAAATAAAAGTGTCTCGTTAAATTATTAGAAGATAGATTGTGTTTCAATTTGAGTTTAGTGGAGGAGCGAGTGTTAGAAGTGGAGAAAGTAACGTAATCCATAATATCGAAAGAAGAGTGAGAAGAGTGGGAAGAATGAGAGAGGAGTGAGAGGGGGAGTGGAGTGATTTGAGGAAGAATGTAATATCTGCTATCTCAATAACCATAGATAGGGGAAGTAAATCAAGGGCAATCAGACGTGATTTGTAGTCGGAGGTGTAGTCATTTAGTATATACTTCGTGGCCCTTCTCTGTATTCTCTCTAACATGATAATGTGTTTTATAAGATTTGGTCTCCAGATGATGGAACAATATAGTAGCTGCGACCAAACCATTGACAAATATAGCTGTTTTTTGATGTGAATGGGAAGAGTTGAGGAAAAGGTCCTACGAATGAGACCAAGGGACTTGTATGCTTTAGAGGTTATGAATATAATGTGATCATCCCAAGATAAAGTTGATGAGAGAATAACACCAAGGTCACGATGACTAATAGCTGTAGGGATAGGTTTGCTGTTGAGAAAATAGGAAGGAGACTGAGCCTGGCCTTTAGCACTCAAAAACTTCATAGTGACACTCTTTGAGTCATTGAAGTGTATTCCATTATTCAAACTCCACTGACATAAAGCATCAAGATCACACTGAAAGGAGACGGAAGAAAGTGAGGAAGAATGATCGGTAGTGGTATGAATGCATTTAGTGTCGTCAGCAAAAAGAATGATGAATACTATCAGGTAGATCGTTAATATAGATCAAAAATAACAGGGGTCCTAGGATACTGCCTTGTGGCACACCTGACAAGACAGATAGGAGGTCTGATACTGAATTGTTGATTGACACGCATTGGTAGCGATCACTTAGGTAGGCATGAAACCATCTCAGTAAATGTCCAGAAATACCAATGGATTCCAGTTTGGTTAACAGAATGCCATGGACAACACTATCAAATGCTTTCCGTAGATCTAGATAGATAACACCAGATGTATATTTCTTCTCTATGTTAGAGTGTATGTGATGTAGAAGGATTAACAGTTGTTGTTGAGAGGATTTACCTTTGAGAAAACCAAACTGAGATGAGCTGATATGGTCCTGAACAAAGTCAACAATCTTATCAAAGATAATCCTTTCTAGTACTTTAGATATAGTACATAAAAGAGATATTGGTCGGTAGTTATTTATTTGTCCTTCCATAGTATTGAGTTCATACACCTAATTATGTTTATTCAAAGTCTTTTCCTTAAATTAATAACTCTTAATTTCCTATTCTCCCTTTCCCTTTCACTCTATTTCTTTTTATTTATTTATTTTTGGCTCTCTGACTGTATTATCATTGAGACCCTCAAGGTTACTATTTTCATCTATGTATTCATTTTGTACTGTTACTTACTCTGTCTTTCCCTTGTAAAGTTATTATTATTATTATTATTATTATTATTATTATTATTATTATTGCCAAACTGTCCTTCTCACTGATTCGTGCTGTTAATATGTGCGTTAGAGGATCTCGTCATAAATGGCGGGGGATTGGTATGGAGGATGGAAATGGTATCAACCCCAGTTTTTTAAATTAACTACTTAATTAGAACTATATTTTCATTTGATTTTATTTTATTATTAATTTCTTTTTCTTTGTCCCTCTTTGCTTGTCCAGTGTTTTCTTCGTTTTGTTTTGTTTACTTTCCTGCTGTTGTTACTTTTGTTTAATAATAATAATAATAATAATAATAATAATAATAATTATTATTATTATTATTATTATTATTATTATTATATTTTCCTCTAGCAATCACTATGTTGTTTGCAGCGAGTTTGCATATACAATCTTCAGTCTAATCATTCTAATCATTGGGGGCGAGCCTGAGCTCGCCCCACTCTAGCAGTACTTGCTATATTCACCCTGACTTTTCCTAGTCTAGACTTTTCCCAGGAGAGTACAGAAGATGAAGTTTCTAATTTAGTAGCAAAGGTACGTTAAGATTGTGAAATTTAATTGTGTGATTTACGAAAATGATTAAGTAGGTGTATTTTATATAAACTGTGTTTTGTTTCTCGATAGCAAGGATGGGGCCTTGCGTTAGGTCCCCTGAAGCAGTTCGGATGGCTGGTAATACTGTCTCTCTCTTTCCCATAATGAAACCCATTTGTTCCATTGTCACGAAATCCATGACAAGTAAAAAACCCATTTGTTCCATTGTCACGAAATCCGTGACAAGTAAAAAACCCATTTGTTCCATTGTCACGAAATTTGTGACAAGCAAAAAAACCATTGTTCCATTGTCATGAAATTCGTGACGAGTAGAAATTTTTGCCCACAAACCCTACTATTCACTCTTGCAGGTCCTGGTGTCCTG